TACTCTCATCATACTATCATCCTCACTTTGCATGGTCATCGTAACTTTTTCATAAAATACCTGAAGTTCTTTGGATAACACGTGTTGTACCAAAGGCTTAACCTCTATTTCCGGTGCGCCCGTCACTGCTCCATTAGGCACTTGGACAATGGCATTCGTCGACGACCTTCTATTGCGAACTTCTGGCACGATATCTTGGGGATACATTACACGTTTGAGCAAGCAATGCTGACTTCAAAATTGAACAAAATCGCGATACACGTTGTGCCTACCTTCGGTAGACACGGGCGACGGATTATGAGGGATTGCTGGTTGAACACCTTCTACGGCAAGCCAATGGGCTAGTGAGACAATTCAATAGATCAGTTGTTGATAATAAAACTTTTCAATCCCATAAAGTCCACAAAAAACACAACCAACCGGTGAAAGTGACCTCCGCGGGCAACTTCGGCATTGCTGAGTCGATTAAGCTTTCAAATTCGTATTCGTCGTCGTCAACGTAAAATAAGTCGTGCTGACCTGATGTCACCCGTTGGAACTTGGAATTGTCGTTCAAGGTAAATCCGTATAATGGCTGCGAAACGTAGGTGAATTTTTATCCAGGATTTTTTGAAAGTAGAATCCTTAGGACCAAACTAGACATTTAGTTGCTTACGTCCACGTTACGCACGTGCAGTGCATTATTTATGTCCTCGCCTGTGAGCTTGGTACGTTTTGAGTGACGCATAAATTTGTTCGCTTCCTGTTCGAAGCATTAGTTTTAAGTTTATGTTTTTGGGGGAACACTTTGTCGTTTTGGAATGCGCGCACCACCTGAATAATCTCGTGGATTCTATATTCCACATCAAGTGCTAGTGTAGCCGCGACACTATCCTTAAGATTCGAGATCCCCACAGACTCTGCTGTACTCTAGATTTTAAGAAGGTCAGGATGAGAAATAAGGAAGTTTACTTGGAACAGAAAACGAAATGAAATAGACCTTGATGGTGTCTTTGGGAAATAGTCTATCCATATTTCACTTGTGATCTTAACGAGATATGATAGAGTGTCAAAGATTGGATCTACAAAATTCAATGCAAATAGTAAAATTATTATAAATGTCTGATTTTTTAAAGGGTCAATCATTATTACATCAAACTTCACGTGCAGGCAAACCATTCTTGCGTGCGGCAAAATGGATCTCTGGTGTATCACAAATTACAAATAATTAGGTTAATGTAACGGCGGTCAGGTCAAATATTCTAGAATACTGCCAGAATTGTCACTAACTTGTGTAAGATTTAAGCACAAAAGTTTGGTCGAACGAGACGCAAGCATAAATTCAATAATGAGCACTGCTGGTTCCTCGTCAAATTCCAATCGTGAGGCTAGACA